AAAAAAAAAAAACTTTAAGATATATACTAGGACTAGGAGAGAACTTATCCTAAACTTATGGTCTCATAATTTAGTTTTAAAAAACAATATTGCAATAAAGAAAAGAAGAAAGCACAAATAACAAAAGTAAAAAGGCAAGAATGAAAGGATCAGCATCATCATTACAATGGTCACAAACCAAACTAAAATTCCAAAACAAAATCTCTCTCTTGCTTCATTTTCAAACCTTCTTCCCTCACCTTTCCTCCTCCTTTTTCCCCCTTCCCTTGCCCCTTCTCCATACACCTCATGTCTCCTCCCCCCTTGTTCTTACCAGAGTCAATCTTCATATATACACAGCACAAGGAGTACAAAATTATCTCTCCTTTTTATAAGCGGCTTCTCTAGTTTATGATATCTTTGCTTCCCTCCCTGTCCCCAAACCACCAGCATTAGATTGAAGTGTAGAATTACATAGAGAAAGGGGCAAGAACCTTGACGGCTTAATTATATACACAAATGGGCGGAAGAGAAGTTTTCAAACAAATATTTCTCCTACTTTGCTTCTTCCTCTTCTCAGGTGAGTTTCTTCTTCCTTTTCACTTTTTATCTTCTCCTCCTCCTTCTCCTGGTTCAAGAATCTGCAATTTCCAGAAACCCTTTATTCTGTGTTCTTTCCATATATTGAAATGTAATAATTTTGTCTACCCCAGAAAATTTACCGGGACAGGGACATGGACCACCCACTTCTAGCTGTGAAATTTTGTCATTTTTTAAGTATGTTTCTTATTTATCCTCTGTTTTATTCTCTGAATTCAAACTTTCTTTGCTTTACATCCTGGACAAGAAATTCCATTTCTTTTCCGTGTCGCAATGCTACTCTTTTTCAAAATGGGTACTATTCTTTAACCATGGGATGGGATTTTTTTTTCATGAGGCTACAGTCACCTGTTTGCTACTTATTTCTTTTCAAAATTTTAATGATAATTCTTCTTCAACTTTAAGAATTTTCTTCCCTTTTTCTTTTGTCCACAATTATTCCATACAGTATGACATTTTTAAATCAAGCCTTTGTTTGCTTAGCTAAACTTTGCTAGTCTTCCTGATGAAGCTGTTAGTAAAAGACAATTCAAACTTCCCTTGAATTACTCCTTTTCCTTATTTACTATTGATATCAAGAATTACCTTGCTACCACGAGCAAACCCATACTGTTCATTTTTAGCTCAGTTATTTTCAATCTTATAATTTACAACTTTTTTTTTATTTGAACACAAGGAATTATAGAGAAATAAGAAATGAGAAATTTTTTTAAATAATCGATGAAAATCAAATTTTTTGATAAATTAAAACCAAACAGTAAAACCGGGGACGAATCATTTGATTGGAAAACCCAATTGAATTTACAACTATTCTTAAAAACCGCTTACATGTAATTGTTCACGGAACCATCACATGAATTACAATGTACGGTTCACCTGGTTTAACCATACTAACAGCTTATGTAATTATTAATATTTGTTAAAAAAATGATGTTTTACAAAATAAATTGTATATTAAAAATATAATTTATTTTATAAATTTATTTAAATATTTGAAATAAAATAATATAAAAAATAATTTTATTAAAAATATTTAAATAAATTCGTTAGAGACACTGCACTTTTATGTACAGGAATTTTTTGGAAAAACTTGAATATCATTGGTTATTATATAAATTCAAATATTCTTATATCTTTTCAAGAAAACACAGTTATTAAATGTTTTCTAAAATAAAAATTTTCATTTTTAACTTTTGATTCCAAATATGTTTCCAGTTATGAGTCCTGCAAGGAGCGTAGATATGAGGAGAGACACAAAAGAAACCATTTCCACCCAGCAAAAGGACATCACCACTCCAATTACAACAGTTCCCACGATAACCCCTGCCGGTGCCACACCCAGTACGTCAAATCCGATCTTGAATCCGAATTCAAACCCGGATTCCACATCGCCGGTGACCACGACCCCGGCCACCACCACATCGCCGGTTTCTTCATTATCAGGTAGCTGGTGTGTGGCCAGCCAAAGCGCGTCGCAAACAGCATTGCAAGTAGCTTTAGACTATGCCTGTGGGTACGGCCGAGCCGATTGTTCGGCGATTCAGCCCGAAGGAAGTTGCTACAATCCCAATACCGTCCGTGATCATGCTTCATATGCCTTCAACCGCTATTATCAGAAGAACCCAATTCCCAGTAGCTGCAATTTTGGGGGAACTGCTGTGACCACCAGCACTGACCCAAGTAAGAAATTTTTCCTTTATTTGTTTGCAAAGATTAATTCTGCCCCCTAAACTTAGAAAACAAACTCAATGTAGTGTTTGATAAAATTTTAAAAATAATTAATTTAAAAAATTTTAATGTGCAGTTTTTTAAAATTTGTTTAAAATTTATTTTAAAAATTATTTTTTAAATTCTCTTTTAATAAAATGTAAATTTATGAAAAAAAAGTTTTTTTAAATAAAATTTTTTAAAATTTTGAGAAGAATCACCCTATTTCATCCACGCCTTTCTCTCAGGGCACATGAATTTTGCTTCCAAGCCCAAACGACCTAAAGGTCCTAAACCCAAAATTTTAGGCTTTTTTATTTTTGTGAATTCTCATTTTCTTAAAATATTATTGATTAAGGTTAATTTATTATAATCACCAACAACATGGTTAATTTATTATTAATTGTTTTATTTGTCCACCGGTTGGTGCCTACTTGGACTTGGAATAATGTTTTCTGGGATAGGGGTTTGATGGTGATATGTAGCAATGTTAGAGAGAGTGCTACGCAGGTGGTGGGTGTTGGGTCACCCCTTAAGGTACTCTAGGATCTTTCATATTTTCCCAAAAATACCAAAATTAATCAAAAAACTCTAAAAAATAAAAGCAATTCCTAGCTCCACCGCTTAGGTCTAAACGAGGCGGTGCTTAGGGTCTAAACGAGGTGGTGGAGCCCTACTAGTTAGGCGGTGCTTAGGCGCTTTCTAGACCCGATTTTACGACATTGATATTAAGTGTCAGTTTTAGAACACTACGATAAGTTAACTTTTCCACGTTTCGGTTAAAAGATATCATGCTTTTTCAGATTTAAAAATTGCTATGAGGAATTCTGTCGCTTTCACAGAACAGACGAAGTGAAAGAGCATTTGGGGTACCATCGTTAAAGGAAATGAATGAGAAAATGAAATAATTTATCATAGACACACCATTTATGGTGTTATACCGAATTATAAAATAAATATTTTTAAAGGACAAAAATTTTAAATGTTAAAAAATTAATCCCTTATTTAAAGTTTATATTTTTTAAATAAATACAGTTTTAATTATTTTATATTAAACTACAAAATAATTTTTCCTTAACCATTTATCTAAAACATGAAATAACCATTCCTTGTTTTCTATTACATTTATATTAGCTTATTTTAATAATTTGGTGAAGGACGGCTGCATCCAATCAATCATAACCGTGATTTAAGATATTATTAATAAATGTATATGTTGGATTTAGTTACTAATGTTGAATATGATGTACCTCAGGTACAGGGACATGTCAATATCCATCCACAAGGTAAACTTTGCCTTACCCTATACATGGTTTTCCTTTTATAAACTCAAACATTAACTTCCAAATTCCAATTCATTTGAATTTGCAGCACAAGTTCGTCAATCTTAAACACCACCAATTCAAATGGCGCGACCGTCTACGGTGCCGTACCTTCAAACCCAACTCCATCTGGAGCTTCTAAAGGCATTGGCCACATACATAATGTTTTAGTAATATCGTGTCTCATTATGTTTGTGGCTAAATCTTATCATTGAAGTAATAGATGGAGTGAAATTAGTTTGGTCAGGCTAAAGCTGTCAAAAGGGTTTCTGACTTTTTTTTTCACAGAAACAAAGATGAACTGATGCTTATGGACTAGATAGACGCATGGTTTAATGCTTAAACTAGTGCTGGCCATACTAGCGTTGCACTTTTCTGTATATAAATGACTTGTTAGTGGTGAGGAGAGAGATCATATAAAGAAAAAAGGAAATGGATTTTGAAGTTGGATGCATGCTCACAAGGTGATTCAGTGCACCCTGTTCTTTCCACCCCCCCCCCCCCTTTTTTTTTTCTGCTTTTTAAGCCTCATTGCTCTATGTAAAACATTTTTTTTATGATCAACGCTCTTTGTAAAACTTGCCGAATGAGAAAACAAGTTTGTTTGGGCAGCTTCCTGAGCTCTAACACTGTTGACCAGCATGAGGACTTGCAAAACAAACTTGGGGGTTGTCCACGGAGTAGATATTTTGACACTTAAATTGGTAGTATTTTATACTCAGATCTCTTTTAGAAAGAGGAAGAGTACAATAAAGAGAGAAATACTTTAGAAAAGTCCATTACCTTCAAGAGGTCTGGGGCTGGGGGTATTTATAGATTTCTTGAAAGTACTTAATATATGTTGCACTTTTATTAGTTTTTTTGGATCCATTTGAATGTATATGAGTTTCATAATAACTCATAACTCATGCATGTGCTCGTTTGCATTTGGGGTATCATGACCTTTATTACATTTATAGGTAGTTAGATTACTATCCCAACACATGTATGCTACAATAATCTAGTAAGAAAGGGACCTCTAAATACAAAAAATTCAGTAACAACGATTAATCAAGTAACGGTTATGATGAAAAAAGGAGATCTCAACAAGACAAGAAAACAGAACACTACAATCATGGTGCAATTAATAAATCAATGATCACAAAAAAAAAAAAAAAATTGTAATAGAATTGGCAAATCAAGAAACTTTTAATTTTTAGGCATGATCCTTATAATTTCTACAAAGGCCGAATCCTTAAATTTGTTCCCAAATAAAAGGTAGGAATATATCTACCCTAAAAAAAAAGAGAGAATATATTATACCTCTAAATCATTAATTGAGACAAATAATTCATTATTTAATAAATGACATCATTAGCATTTAGTTAATGACAAACTTAGTTGACCAATGATTCCTGATGTGTGATAACATTAGTTGTTAAATTTAGGGTCATTTACCTTGATCAACAATTTAGAGAGGTAATTTGTCCCAACCTTTTTTTGAGGGGCGGATTTATCCCCTAGGGGAGTGGATTTGGGGGTTTAGCCTTTTGCGAACGATCTCAATATTATAGATTGTGTTGGCTCAAACACTCCAAGACAGGGTAAATTGGAGTCTTCAAGTTTTCTCTCTTTTTAGAACCACCAAATGAAAAACAAAGAGAGAGAGAAAAAGAGCTCGCACAATTAATTTTATCGAGATTTGGCCCAATCACTTAACACCTAATCCTCTACCTTAACTTTACTGACCAAGGATTTTCTCCATACTCACCAAGGATTTTCTCCATACTCTCCACTAGTACTCAAGAGTAGCTTAAAGGAACTATCCAATCCTTTTACAAACTGCTTTTCACTCAAACACTCCCTTTTACAAAGATCCCCTAACAAACCTCATTTAGTTTCTCTCTTGAAGACTTGTCCTCAAGTATCACTTTTTGGAGTTGCACTCACTCCCAAGAACACAAATAAAGAGTATAAAGAAATACTACACATGATATGATCTCTTCAAGAGCTAATTTGCAAATGTAAGGTCAAACTCTTGAAAGGATTCGCAAATCTAAGCTCAACTCTCTTGTTTTTTATTTTCTAATATGTGTTTAGAGACTCTCCACAGTGTTTTCCAACCTTATTTAGGGCCTATTTGGTATAATGGTTAAAGTTTAGTGGATAGTGGGTAGAGAGTAGTAGATAACAAGTGTTAGAAAGCAAGTAGCTGATAGTGGGTAGTAAATTTTAATTGATAGAACTATTTGATTATATAATAATTAGTAGTTATTAATTGACATTAAATGATTAATAAAGATATATTTGAAAACAATTAAGTGTACTTTTTTCTTTTTATATTTTTTATTATTAAAATTATTAATTGGATAAGAATAATAATAAGAAAATAAATAAATAAAATAAATTATAATAGTGTAATCACAAACTTATTCCTATTTTTAACAAAGAAAAAATTAAATTATTTTTAAATAAAGAAAAAATAGATTTTTAGCTATTTCCTCTAATTAGCAAATTTTATTTATAAGTTAATAAAATCTTTTATGATAAATTAATGTAAAAAATAAAAATATAATAATCACTTAATGTTATTAAAGAGAAAAAATGAAATTGAAACTAATTAAGTACTTAAAAACAATGGCTAAAATTAAAAAATTAAATGAATAAATTTATTAACAAAATTAAAAAATTCCCATCCTCTAGTAATTTTGTGTAAAATGCTACCTTAAATAACTTTTTAAATTAACTAGTGGTTTGAATTTTAACTGTCATCTGCTAGTTCTAAATTGCTAAATAAAAACATTTACCAAACACTTAATTTATAACAGTTTCGAAACAAACAAAGTTTACCAAACACTTATCCTTAACAGTTTAAGTAGAATTGCTAATTGCTACCCCAAAACACCATACCAAATAGGCCCTTATACTCCCATGGTTGAAAATAGTCATTTCTAACTGTTGGAGTCTATCTAATGCACTGTAGATCATTTTAGGTTTGAGAAAACACTACAAAATTTACCATTAAGCTAGTTTTACCTTCAGAGTTGGCTCTCTTGCACATGCTATACATTCTGTTTTCTTTAGCACTAGCTGAAAACACTAAAGCTGGCTAAGGAAATTTGGGTTTGAAAATTCCAAAAAACCTTTAGGTTGTGTTTGGGAACTTGAATTTGAATTTGATGAGTGTAATTAAAATACATGTATTTAAAATACATGTATTTTGAAATACATTGTTTGGATTGAATTAAAAAAATGAATTTCAAATACATGTATTTTTAAATACATTATTTGGATATTTTAAAATACTATGTATTTAAAATTGAATTTCTCCATTAAATTAAATCTTTTTTTAATTATTATTTAAATTTAATAAAATCAAAATTAACAATTTTAATCTTTCAAAATATTATTTAAATTATCTCAAGAAACAATGACCTCCACTAACATACCATTCATGTATTTAAAACAATGAAAGCTAGCAACTAAGAAGATCAACTAAAGAATGGATTTCTAGGTGCTGAGGAGATCAATGCAACATTTAAAACCATAGCAAAAGATATTCAAACCGAAGAGGTAAAGATATTCAAATTGAAGAGGTAAGTAACTTATAAACCCAATCCTCCTTCCTTCTTTGGTGATTTACAACAGTTAATAAAAAAGATAACTTGTAAAAAAACTCAAGCTAAACAGCTCATGTTTCTATCTTATATTAGGAATCAAATGTAGCACTAACACAAGAGCAGAGCAGCACAGAGAAAACAGCTAATGAAGTGTAATAATGTGGCTTGCCAAGTCATTCGTCCTCTTTATTGGTCCACCAGATCATTGCCCTATAAAGAAAGTATCCCTAAATTATTTTTCTAAAAATAAAAAGAATAACCTTTGGCATACAAAGAATATTCTCAAATGTGAAACTTATCTTCAACCATGTGAATATCAAGACATTACAATAATTTTTGTAATTAGTGATAACATGTAAACTGAAGGCCCCGTGCTCAAGTTAGAGCTCTTTCAGAGCTATATTTTTGTCCCAATACTTTGCCTCTTGCTTTCAGCGTTAGATTAATAAATTAAAACAGTAAAAGGGAATAAAAATTTCACACAAAATCAGAACATGTTCTACGTTATGAAATGGTGGACAAAGGAAGAACTAATAGACTTAGCATATTGCCCCTCTTACTAATC